AGGAGACCCCCAGAGCGTGGACTCGTTTGAAGTTCCTCGCAGTGAGAAACAGATTTTATTCCACAAACCGATAGAGATGAAAATCCCGTCGCAGCGGGTCACACAGACACAATCACAAACTCTTCTGCAAGGAAGCCCAGCTCAACCTCCACTCATCAAGCCCCCTCCAAAAAGCTCAGTCCATGACTCACTCTCACTCATCCCATCAAACTCTCTTCACACTCTGTCCCTCCTCCCCTCTGCGTTCTTCAGGGGGTTGCATCTCCATGGCAACACCCCCATCCTGCTGCTGGAGCTTAGCATCTAGTCACGTGTTTCCTCTTCTCCTTGAGATTACATCATCTCCGGCAGGCTCTTCTGGCTGTCCAGTCTGCCACTCTCGTCTCTCCTTGGCCTCTGGTGACCTTAGCCCAGCGTTGCCCCTCCGACTACTCCTCTTCTTCCTCTCTCGGCCTTGGGGAGGAACAGTAAATCTTCTCCTTCATGCAAGTTAGTGGGCTTATCGACTTTAAGAGTACATGATCTGTTTTTATAGCTATTACCTGGTGCACCTGGACTTTCTCCAGGATAAGCCCCCTTGCCTCCACTTCTCTGGAAGTCAAAGGTTACCACAGAACCGTCCGTGAGACCGAAACAGCTCAGAATATTTACGACTTCAGTGTGAGAAGCACACGTCTTTATCAGTGACACACACACACACACACACACACACACACACACACACACACACACACACACACACACACACACACACACACACACACACACACACACACACACACACACACACACACACACACACACACACACACACACACACACACACACACACACACACACACACACACACACACACACTTTTAGACAAAGGAAAAGCAGCAAGCATGAATTGGTTTCACAATAACAGAGAATTAATCCAGACCTGATCTTGTATAACTAACAAGTCTGGGATCAGTCTCAGTCCATCAGGGAGGAAGCATTAATATCACATTTATAAGTCTGAGAATTGTACTTACAACCTTTCCAGACATAATAAACTCGATGGTGGGAATAGACGTGCATTCCAAACGTTGTGACTGGATAAAAAAAAACCTCGTTTCTGACTTCCAGGTGTTGGAGCTGCTGAAGGTGGCATGGATGCGTCGCCTCATCTTCACCGTGGGGACGTCCAGCACCACCGGAGAGCCCGATACGGTGGTGTGGAACGGCATCCACCACAAAACGGAGATGATGTCCAACCTGTCGGGCCACGGCTACCCCGACCCCAACTACCTGGACAACGTTCTGTCCGAGCTGGCCTCGCAGGGCGTGACAGAGGACTGCCTCAAGCCTCCGGGCAGCAGCTAGGACGCAGCGTCACATTTTCTGTCACCGCAAACCTCAACCGAGCCGACGGCGGTCGCCATCACAGGCCGCCGTGTTTCTGCACCTCGCATCGCAGGAGCCTGAACTTCAAAATAAAACACATTGGGCCGACTTTAGTCTGCGCCCAGTTCATCGAACCGCCGCTCTGGAAACTCGTGATTCGTTTGTCGAAGCCTCATCAGTATCCTGGTTTTGAGTCGCCGTGGGAAACGGCGCTTATTCTGGGAGCAGAAGTCTCATGAAGCACTTTAGCTCCGACAGTGAATTTGCTGGCAAAATGCAGTTTTTGTTTGGTTTGTTATTCCACAGTGAGAAGGCAGTCGGCTCCGTCGCAGCCGAGCATTTCAGCAACGCGGCGAAACTCCAAGTAGCAAAGTCCGTTTGTACGATTATCAGTGAGAAGAGGCAACACTTAGTGCTGTAAATAAACACGAGTGCATCAAAAGTATAAAAACATCTTAAGTTTTGATTTTTACATCCATGGTTGTTTTAAAGTCTAACGAGCCTTCTGCAGCCATTTTCTTAGTGTTGAATCTGAGAGGACGGATCGAACAGCCTCAGATTTTGACCCAGGTGGACGGGAGCGTGGAAGGTTCGACAGTGTGACAATCAGAGTCGTCGTGATTAAACGAGACGCGTGAATTCGCCCGCGTCTGCTCGGCCGAGTCTCCACACATGTACATGCAACTGAAAATGTATCTGCAATAAAGAAATGATGCAAAACCAGACCGGCGCCTGATTTGAGCTGATGAAGATGCTGCAAACTTTAGTGTTTTTAGCTTCTTTTGCTAAACTAATCTGATCATTTTGAGCCTGATGAGGATTTAAAGGTGTTATCTGCTGCCCAACAGCCAGTTGGAGTTCTCATCCGCCCGCTTAACAGAATTATGTTTCAAACCAGGTTGTTAAATCTAAAACATTTTGTTTTTAAGCCATGAGAAATGAACAAGGCTTCACCCAGACTCTAACGAAGCGTTGGTTACAGGGGCGCCTCCAGAAAATTGATAGGGGTGGCCAGATGGGGCCAATGAAATGTTTGGGGTGGCACACCAAATTGGTCCATGTGGTAACTCTGGTTGAATTTAGTGTGTGGAGATGTGCTGCATTGCACTTTTGTTTTTATTAAAATAACGGTAGGTATCCAAAACATTTAACTTAATTTTATAAACAAACATTTTAGAAAAACGGTTCAGTTTTTTAAACTGTTACCCCTAATTTAATTAAAGCAGTTATTTTTTTAGGTTCATTCACCTGTTGCTGTGTTAAAAATAAAACTAAGGAGATAAAAACTTTAAATGGTGAGCAGCAGAAACATGTATTTTTTTATTGTGATTATTTCTTTACTTATTAATTGTAATATTTTATTTTGTTTTACAATTATGTCTTGAATAAATAAGATCAATATATGGTTTGACTGAACATTAATATACTCCGACAGGAACTAATTAAAACTGGAGATGGTGCACCTACGAGCCTCGTGTCCGTTTGACCAGCTCAACTGGCCACAGCTGGACTTCAGCTGCAGGAACACCATAACAGGCCAGTGAAAACGGGACGTTTCAAACAGGCAAATGAAAATCAAATGCACTGAAAAAGGTTCTAGTAACAAATCTACTTTGTGCATGAATAATTCCAGCCAGGACCACATGAGAACAGAACCTCCAAAAACATCTGCGCTTACCTCAAATGCTCCTCTGGACCCTGATGGTGACGAGCTCCCAGCAGAAGGCCAGGCTCCTCTGGTCCAGTCACCACTGAAGCTTCTCTTTATTCTTGTCATTTGTACCAATGTTTGTACCAAACTAGCCGTTTGTTCCTGGTAGGCGGAGCTAAAATATGACAGACAGGCTCACCTGTGCTTCATCAGTCAGCTCCAGGGTTTAAGCCTGGGGTAATGGCTTTGGTATCCATCACATTTTAGTTTTAACCCGGCTTCAACACACCTGACTTCAATCAGCAGGTGATTAACAGGCCTCTGGTGAGCTGCTGCACAGGTGAGTTAACCACTGAATCAGGTGGAGCAGAGAAACCACTAAAACATGCTGGATACCGGCCCTCCAGGACCAGAACCGAATACTCCTGGTTTAAGCCTTTTCCTAGAAAGCCATTATCCATCCTGTTGTAGTTGTTTCTCTGCTCCAACACACCTGACCCGCTGACTGTTCAACCTGTTGATCACCTGCTGATTATAATCAGGTGTGATTAAGCAGAGAAACAACTACAACAGGCGAGGTGGGGGTCCTGGAGGACCAGGATTGGTTAATAACATAAATAACTTGTTTTATTTAAAGCTGCAACTCAACAGAACAAGCAGCATAGCTGCAGGTGGTTTGTAGAGATTAGCTCATACCAGGAATGCATCGGACCGTCCTGCCCAACTTCCCTGGGTCCTCCACTCATCACACACTCCCTTAGCAGCAGAACACCACCGGTGTGAGAGGTTCTCTGCTCAGTAACGTCAGAGAAGGAGAAACAGCCGGCTGCTACCACTTCAGCTTTAGGACAAACTACCAGAGTCCCAAAAAGAAAAGCACCAGTTGAAGTCACAGACAACAAACGACGTTTGGGCCTTAAAAAACGACGACTGGTGTTTAGTGCCATTTCGTCTCCTCTGGTAATGCGGGGTCCAGTTCTGGCGGATGTGTCCCAGGGACGATAGCCAACGGGAGGGGTGCAAGTTCCGTCTTTAAAAGCTTGTTCTGTAAATTAGCTTTTGCAGTTTTAAAGGCGCCTTTCTAAAACCAAAGGTCACCTTTCAGAATAAAACCGAAAGAGCATAAAAATAAACATTAATACAGCAACGAAGAGTAAAAGCAGAGCATATGTGCTAAAGTCGGTCTTTATCCAAAACCCGTCTAATGTGTTTAGAGCTGGGTCTTGAAGTAAGAGTCGATGTTTCTAATGATAGCAGGAGGCGGCTTCCAGAGCCGAGGAGCAGAACGACTAAAAGCTCCGGTCCCCGCGGCGGTGAGGCCTACGCGAGCTGATGATGATCTTGGAGAACGGGAAGCAGTGACGATGTTGGGCAGGTCACACCGATCAGACAACCTTTAGCTGAACAAGCAGAAGACGGAGATGATTGTAGACTTCAGGAGAACACCGGCTCCACTGCCCAGCATAACCCTGACAGGCAAGCAGATTTAAACCGTGAACTCCTTTCGCTTCCTCGGGTCCACCATCACCCATAAACTCAAGTGGGAGGTGTCCATCAACACCCTCATCAGGAAGGCCCAGCAAAGGATGTTCTTTCTGCATCAGCTGAGGAAGCTCTGCATGCCAGCCACGATGATCCAGTTCTACACGGCCCTCATCGAATCAGTACTCGCCACGCAGGAGCCGCTGCCAGGGACAAAGACTGCAACGGGCAGCTCGCTCAGGGGAGAAAATAATCGGATGCGGCCTTCCATCCGTACGACCTGTACAACTCCAGGGTTCTGAAACGTGCAGGTCGGATAACAGCCCTGGTCATGGACTGTTATGGGCCATTCCCATCTGTACCGGGTCGGCCCGGGCCGGGTAGCGTAGGTTGTTTACATATCTGGGTGGCCTGGTATTTTTCCGGGCCAACCAAGGCTCATTCTCAGGGGGTCTGCTTCAGGCCGACCAGGGCCAACACACCCACTGCTGACAGCAAATTCACACCTTCCATTAGAGCAAGCCTCTGATTGGTGGGTAGAATCAGCCCACATGGGCTTAAGACAAGGATGTGTGGAATCAACCGGGCCAGGCTGGGGCCGACTGGGGCTACCCGGCCCGGGCCGACCCGGTACAGATGGGAATGGCCCTTTAGAAACCCTAATTTCAGGGAGGAAGTTCCGGTCCTTCCAGACTAGAACCTCACGCCACAAAAACAGCTTCTTCCCCTCCGCTGTAAGGCTCCTGAACAACCGATGAATGGCCAAAACACATGGAAACGCCCCAGTCACCCACATTCCTACGCTCATGATTGCTTTCTGGCTGTGTTTCTTTTCTGGTTATTGGATGTGTCCTAATGTAAACGCCGCCTGACCTGACTTCGATTTGAAGGCATGTTCGCACCTTGCCACCGAAACAACTTCCTAGTAGACGAGCCTCTCACCTACATGGCAACAAATCTGATTCAGATAAGGCGGGGCGAGGCTGTGAATGCACTTAAACACGAGAAGTTAAACTTTAAATGTAATCCTGGTTGCTAAGGGCAACCATAGGTTCTGGTTGACGCTGCTGACGCTTTCTTCATAGTGACAGGATATAAAACAGAAAAACACAGCAAATAATATGGAAAGCCCTTCCCATCATCCCCATAAACACACGCTGAGTCACCTCCCACGCTACGGAAATGCAAGGCAACACATTTTATTTTGAAGGCCTAACTGGCGTTAAGGTACAGCATATTAAATATAGTTAGTCCAGAGACGTCATCGCAGAGTAACATACCAATCTTTTCTTTACATGATACATTCAGTCTGGCGTACTTTACAGGTTAATGCGGTGGGAAGATAGAAAAGGCTGCTAGCTGAGCGGCGCTCCCCGCAGGAAGCCCCCGCTGCTCCGTGGACCGCCGGCCGAGCCCGCGTGTCCGGGAGAGTCTGCAGATGTAGCCAAGGTCTCTCACAGAGCCGAGTGATCTATTTTACATCCCTGCACGTGTTGTTATAGTTCAATAAATATAATAAATAAAAAGTACAAATATCTGATATTAATGGAACCAGGTGGTTTATCAAAGTCAGCACTACATCACATCCTAACACGACTCAGCGGATGGACAGCTTTTAAAGGAAAACTACTTCAATGAGGCTTCCAGCTGAGAAATAAAAGTTCAGATCCAAATCCGGTTACGACCGCCTTTAGAAGGGACGCCGACAGCCGTCCTGCCTTCACCCGGTGCCGACGGGAACGTCGTCCTGCTGCTGATTGACGTTCCAACATTCTGCCGTTCCTCGTTTCGTCTCCGTCTTTTCTGGAAGAGTTGTCCCTTTGCCGTAGTTCAGCTTTGTCCTTCAGTGATTGACCTTCCCAGGAACCTGAACGTTGACCCCGCTGTAGTCCACCATGTACATGGGCCACTGCTGCAGACACACGGCGGTCAGGAGGGAAAACCACAGTTAACTCAAGCTTATTACGAGCGCTGAACACCGTTTACCTTTGAGTATAAAGGAAGTGAAATGGTGGCTTTGAGCTGTTCGTGTGGACCATACGAGACTCTGGAAAACTTACCTGGAGTTGAACTAAAAGCCTTGATGTCTAATTGTACTGACAACTAAGATCTTGTTCTCAGGGAACCGTGTAATACTTTCTCTTTTTAAAAGACGACCGGTCACCGAGTTCTCGTCTCCAGCAACAGGGAAGCGATTGGGTCTCTTCTACGTCACAGGAGGAGAACAAGGACACTGGTAGGACACCTGGGACCAGCAGAAACTAAGCGGAGGCATTGGACGTACCATGACTGGAATCTGATTGGTGGAAATTCCCAGCTCGGGGGAAGCAGGAACCCGGCTGCTCTCCTGCACTCTCTTGCGTTTCCGTCGGTTAGTCGAGGCCTCCGTTTCTGCTGAAGAACCAGACGGTTTGAGTCTGAGGCGCTGACCAGCAGAAAGGTCTCCCGCCCACAAGCAGAACCTACCCGTGTTGCACGTCTGGCTGCAGATTTCTGCAAACGGCCTGAAAGAGAAGAATTTGGTTTGATTTGGGAGTTTTGCGGATCAGGGTGTGGTCCGAGTGCTTCTCCACTCACTGGAGCTGGCTCTTGATGCTGAACGTGATTTTATCTGCAGCCTGAAGGATTTTCTCCAAACACACGATGTCGTAGGTGTTCGGGTTTCGGAAGGCGACGTCGTCCGGAAGCCCGCTGACTTCCACGGACTCTGGACTGCCTCGGATGAGTTTGTAGGGGACCACGATGGAGCGGTCCAAGCCCAGAGCCTCACCTAAACACAGATGGGGGTGGGGGGACACTGAAACACAGACACCTACAAACCCACCCACACCGACATCAACACAAGTGATTTTGGTCTGATGGACAGGAAGTCCTCCCAAGGCGATGACGCCATGTAGAAGCACCAAAGGCGGTCCGCACTAGAAGAAGCTTTCTGATTTTACCCAAATTTCGAGGACGGGCTCGGTGCTTGAGTTCAAAACCTAGCTTGTTTGCAGATTGGCTAAAACATCTCGAAGCCGTTCGGCTTCAGTCGTTTGCATATTTGTTTTTAAATCCATTCGTTGTCAAAATAAACAAGAAAAATCCTTGTAGATGAGCTCGTATCGCTGCTAAGTTTTAACTTCCTTTTGGTGCCATCACGGTTGCTAGGCAACAGGACAAGCTGAGGGAAGGGGCGGGAACAGATGTGAAGTCCAGACCGTCCCGTTCTGAGTGGTCGAGGACGGACCCGAGCCACTTGGCCCAGGGAGGACGTGTCCTCACAAGACAGCTGTCCCCGGGTCGTGTCCACTAACCCACACAGGCATCACTTTACCGTTAGACACCGTCTGCTAACGGTTCTGACGGACACACGTCTCCACGGTTTTTACCGTATTTCTGGTTGAAAAGCTCCTTGACTTGCTCCCGGAGGACGACTTTCTCTCCCATTCGATTGACGTCGTCGTCGTCTGTGGGGAGGAGAGAAGGTGAAAACCAGGAAAACGACGATGCGGCGCCAATTTTAAACCCAAACCCAAACCTCACCGCTTATGGAAGCGTAGGCCTTCTTCAGCAAGGTGACTCTCCGAGGTGCTGAAACAACAACAAAACAGTTTGGTCGAACCCTGACCCTCCAGAAACAGCACCTGCTGAGTTCGGGTCGTACCTGGTTTTGGGATGAGTCCCTGAAACGGTCTGAAAACAAAAGGAAATAGTTTGTTTAAAAACTGACAAACTTAAAAACCAGAAAGTGGGAGCAGAAATGAGGAACTTTTTGAAGCTGGTTGAGACCGAGCCGGGCTACCAGCAGGTGAGGTGGTCACGTGACCCGGGCAGCCCACCTGGTGATGGTGAAGCAGATTTTGTCGGCGACCGCCAGGATCCTCTCCAGGTTCTGGGAGCCGAAGGTGCAGGGCTTCCTGAAGGGGATGCCGGGCGGGAGGCCTTCGATGATGACCGAGTCCGGGTTGTTCTTGATTCGCTTGTAAGGCACTTGGACGGGATACTTGATGCCCAAAGCCTCGCCGTACTTCCTGTTGAACAGATCCTGGACCTGCTCTCGCAGCGTGTTGGCCAGGTCGATCCTGGACAGCTTGGACTCCATGCACTCTGAGGACAGGACGGTTTGTTTATGTGGCAGGAAAGACGTTCAAAACGAGCCTTTAACCTGGAATGGTCCGAATATTCCCGTAATACGGACGCGTTTCTGGTTTGACCCGGAGGACCTGAACCATACCTGAGAATCCGGTCCTCTTGGAAATCGCTGCTGCGTCCTCGGTTATTGGCGTTGTGTCGTTGACGTCCAAATCTGTAAAAAAAAAAAACAGGCATTTTGTTTTAGTTTGATGGTCTCATGAGCCGTCCTGAAGACAACAAACGTTGTTAGGAGTTTAGAGCTGCCGCAGATGAGCTTTATTACAGATTAAATGTAGAAACAGCTGCAGGAACCCCTTTTATTTAGTTTTATTTTAGAAAGGCTGTATTAAATAGAGCCTGACCCGAGTCTGACCCCTACTTAGGCGGAAACCGACAGTTTAAAGCTTCCAGATGGTGGAAAAACAGCAGGTTTTAAACTAGAAACGTTCCGATCTGAGGAGCCGAAGCTGCTCCTGAAAATGTTTCATCAGCTATTTTAACTCATTAGGTGAGCAGCAGTGATTTCATCTGAATAGAAACAATAGAATATATTTCATATAGATATCTATCTATATCCCTCTCACTCTGTAAACATAGTAAATGTATAACACTGAACAATATTTTAATAGTAAATAAGAAAAACATACTAAAAATGATCAAACATATGAATAAATAAGTACATGAACAGGAGATCTGATCACTTGTCCAGGTCTTGATTTGCAGCCTAAACCAGAAAGGCATCAAAGGGACACTAGGCGGTTTTGGCTTGCTTTTATCACCCCCTAGTGTCCATTTAGTAGAACCTAAAGCAAAACCAACCTCCTCGCTGTGCGTTTGTCTTTTTTAACACCTTAATCTAACAGCTGAAACGTCTCCCAGCCTTCATTACAGTCTACAGGAGCGTATCATCACTAAATTAAACAAATCTGCTGTGTTCATGATGCAAAACACACAGGAAACATGCTGGAAGCCAGACTACAGTGTCAGGTGTGTCAGGTCCTTTTTTCCTAAACGGTAAACGGCCTGTATTTGGATAGCGCCTTCTTATGGGCTCGACACACGGGAGGCGACATCGCCTCTCCTCCATTCATTTTCAATGAGACAAAGCGATAATCGCGGGTCTCCCTCCTACTAAGCGAAACGCGAAAAACGTGCGTGTGAAATTTTGCGCTCGTGCACGTGTCGTGCACGTGCGACCCAGCGACGCGATCCCAGAAAGTTGAAATATTTTCAACTTTTCATCGCTGTCGCTCGGACGAGGACCAATCAACGGAGGTTTCATTCACTGACCAATGAGCGGACAGGATGCTCCGCACATCTCCGAGCAAACATGGAGGAGAAGTTGGTTATTATTATGTTTTATAGTAAAATCAGAAGTAAGATTTCACATAACTCTAGCAGCACCTTGTGAAACATCATATCTACCGCTTTATTAACTCTGAACCGCTTAAATAACCTTAATTCCCTCCAACCTGACACAGCCAAACAAAACAACGGAAGTTTCGATTTCGCCATGGAACAGAACGCGTAGACGGTTTTGCCGCTGCCGCAGATCGCCTCCCGTGTGACAGGTAATAAAAGCGATGGCGACAAATTTCGCTGATCGCGGTCGTTTGTCGCCTCCCTTGTGTCGAGCCCATTAGGCTTCTACGACCCCCCAAGGTGCTTCACAACACATTCACACGCTGGTGGGGATGAGCTACGAAGTAGCCCACTGATGGAGGCGCCACCGGTCCCTCCGACCACCACCAGCAGGCAAGGGGGGTTAAGCCCAAGGACACAACAGCAGAACTCTCCGGTCGGAACCGGGATTGAACCTGCAACCTTCCGATTACTGGACAACCCACTTAACCTGGGTGGCCTTTCATTAACCCTGTGCAGCCGGGGTATTCAACTGCAGTCCTGGAGGGCTGGTATCCAGCACGTTTTAGTGGTTTCTCTGCTCCAACACACTTGATGCAGTGGTTGAATCACCTGTGCAGCAGCTCATCAGGCTCTGCAGAAGCCTGTTAATCACCTGCTGATTGAAATCAGGTGTGATGAAGCAGGGTTGAAAGTAAAACATGCTGGATACCGGCCCTCCAGGACCAGATTTGAAGGCCCTAGCTGTAAATGTAACCCTTTAAAATGTAACTAAGTAAATAAAGTTTGGTATTCAACAAATCTAAAAGGCACAAAAAAGTAAATGTTGTTTTTATGAAATAAATAAAACTCCTTTTAACAGAACTTGATTTGTTGCCGGGTCTAAATTTCACCGTTAGTTTCAGGTTTGTTTTTAGTTTAGAGTCGCTGAGACGCGGGTCACAGGTGAGGGAAAAGCCACCGAGTCTTCCCCACGGCGCCGACTCGGCAGCATTCTGACCCGGACTTGATTAAAACCCGGAGATGTCGTCGTTTGTCAGATTAAGTTTGTGTTTGTGGACCAGAGGAGCAACAATTTTGCTGCATTTAATAAAAACGGCTGTGGGCGGGGCTTCTTCCATCGGTGTAAAGCCTACAGGTGCACACCACTCACCTGCATCACAGGGCATGGAAGGCATTTCTTGTTTAAAGTGTTCTGTTAAAAGTTCCGGCCTGAGGACAAAACAAGACAAGGATTCACACGTTATTCCCAACTCCGCTCCACCCTCACAGCTGGATGGACTTCCTGTCTGTCGGCGTTCCTACCTTTTAATGAAAAACTGGATCTGGCCGCCAACAGCCAGGATCTTGCGGAGTTTGGCCGCTCCGAAGCAGTTTGGCCTCCGGAGGGAGATTCCCTCCGGCAACCCGGTGACGTACAAATCCTCCGGATACATCTGGAATTTGGAATACGGCACCTTGGCTGGTTCAGGGAGGCCCAGGGCTTCGGCTGGAGGAGAGGAGATGTTATGGAGCACGTCAGAGAACAAGAGCGAGAAGGAAGTTCAGAGCTCTAAAAAGACGAGATGCTGCTGCACCTCAGCACCTGTGGTTAAAGTCGGATTTAATCCCAACGCTTGCAGCGTTTAGCTGAACGCAATCAATCCCAGGTGTTTCATCAAAACAAGTTAAATCATTCATAATCCAAAAGACTTAGAGCACGGCTACAAGTGGAGCAGACGGAAGTCTCACTGCGGCTCCCCGTGAAGGAGGATTGTGGGTATTTACCGTATTTAATGCTGAAGAGGTTCTCCACTTGTCTCCGAAGCTGAAGAATCATCTCACCGATGTCCTCCACCAGAGTCCCAGCTGGAAGAGACAAGCAGGTGAGCAGAGAAGCTGAACAGGTGAGTGTGAACATCACCAGCACTCCGACCCGGCGATGACACACCTACCGAATCCTCACCAGGTGCGTAAATCATGGAGAACGGAAACAGATGTAGGACAGCGGAGACGTGAGCCAGGGACTAAACCCAACAACAGAACCGGGTAAACTGGGTCTGGTTATCAAACGTAGCAGGAGCCCGTCGACAGCTGGGGATGGAGCCGGGTCTACACTCCAACAGCAGCATTACTATCTAAACATACTATTAATAATATTTTAGCAATACTCATCTTTTCATTAAGACACATATTTAATCTTTGTTAGAAAACTGTGTGGAGTTCTGCTCCGACTGGATAATAATGTCACAAATATCTGATTTACTGAGGAGACACAGGGGAAAAAACGTGTCCTGACTTTGTTTTGTGGGACGCTGAAAAGTGGACACGTCCAGGGAAAAGAGGACATTTGGTCTTCAAACGACGAGGCTGAAGTTAGCTTCCGATTCGGGGGAAACGGCTAAAGGGCCATTACACCCAATTTTTCTCTACTCTGACCATCTTTAATCTGCTCTAGCTGAAACACTACAACAGCCACACTGTTCAATCCTGTTCTAGATTATTCTACAATAATAGCAGATTGCATACAACCTTGTTTGGGATTTGTGAAAACTTTCCCTGATTTGTGAAACTTCAACAAAGCCTTAAAAAATCGGTCTGCGCATGCCCGATAGTAGAACATGTCAACGAGCACGGATAGTCCGACTATCTTGAAAATACACCTCCAAAACAATTCCTCCGCTCCTCCATTGTTCTAATGGCGTAGTCTTTTTCTCCCGGGCCGGCTCTCAGACAGGAACTCCGTCATATTACCGTAATGTATCGTACACCTCTGAAAAGTGCGGAGTGTCACCTTTCTGAAACCAGGGCTGAGGCAGTGGAAAAGAACGAGCATGGTGAGATGGATGAGAGGTAAGACAATCTGAGTCACTGAAAGATATCTGCAAGAAAGATTTTTTGTATGTCTTTGGGAATGGAGAAATACATAATACCTGAAAATTTCCTTTTTTTGCAGCAAAAAAGCGGAACTTCTCATGAAACTGAAAACAGAAATGGAGAGACGTTCAATTATCTGAAGTTCTCTGGAATGTGGGAGAATAAAAAAGTTTGAGGCTGAACATTTATGCTTGTTTATAATTAAGACACGCAAACATCAAAGTAACTTTTGCATAGTTGTGGCTGTTGTGTAACTGTGCTACATGTCACCGAAAAAAGACAATCTGTGTTGAAGTTTCACAAATCAGGGAAAGGTTTCACAAATCCCACACTGTGTTTTATTTGATCTGCTATTGTACTGTAGAATAATGCAGAACAGGTCTGAACAGTGTGGCTGTTGTAGTTTTTGAACTGCAGCTGTTCCATCATTGGCCAGATGCTGAAAAAACGCATAAATCAGGCTTTGCTGAAGTTTCACAAATCAGGGAAAGGTTTCACAAATCCCAAACAAGGTTGTATGCAATCTGCTATTATTGTAGAATAATCTAGAACAGGATTGAAGTGTGGCTGTTGTAGTTTTTCAGCTAGAGCAGATTAAAGATGGTCAGAGTAAAGAAAAATTGGGTGTAATGGCCCTTTAGCCGTTTCCCGAATCGGAAGCTGGAATCGGAAGCTAACTTCAGCCTCGTCATCAAACGCGGATGACCTGTCTCCTCCTCGTTCACCTACAAATGGAGACCATATTCCACCCAAGTGTCCCGGAGTTTGATAATTAGGAAAAGCTATTTTTAACCAGCCCAGTCATTCTCCTGACCCGCTGTACTCCTTTAGCTTTAGCTTAGCATAAAACACAGGAAGTGAATGGGTCCAACTAGCATGGTGAGCAAAAAAGTCCTTAAAGAGCAAGTCACCCCCAAATAAACTTTTTTTTGCTGATAAACTATATAAATGAATGTCAAATCGTGCTGCAGACACGTGTAGTCAATATTTTGGCACTTCAGTGCATCTTAGTTAAAATTTAAATATTCTGCCTAAAACTGTCAGTGTTGTGCCGTTGTCAGGTAAAAACTCTGCACTGTATTTTAATTTAAATCTGCCATCGCTATTGGCTAAGAGGTATGCTATGATGTAATCTGGTGCATTATGATGTCACAATGCTGTCGTGAGCCTGTGTGTGTGTGTATTTGTTAGCAGCTCTGCCTTCACGCTATATTAGTGCAATTAATGCCACAGCAAGTCATTTTGTCCAACAATTGCACAAATAATATCCAAAAAAGAATACACAAACGCTACAACTACTGGTCCACGTTGAGAGACTGAAAATGACCGAACAGTATCCAAGCCAGACCGAGGCTCTACTGAGGCCTTTCCCCGGAGCTAGCTCTGTGGTCACGTGGGTCTGATGCTCATTAATTATACAGAATTTTAGGCTTTTAATACACTTAAATAGAAGAGTGAGAAAAACATTCACACCCCTCAGAGTTGTCATGAGTGCAAACTAGATCATTTAAACAAAAAACATGTTTTGGTACCAGGCTGTAAACATGTTTATTTCTGCTGTGAAATTGGTATTTTTAACATGGGAGTCAATGAGGATTTGCTCGCTTCTGACACCATCCCCTAGTGGATGAGGGTGGAACTGCAATTTTTGGTACTTCCGGGTTGGCCTCAACTTTTCACCCGCATTGTGGGGGCTTGGGCTTTCCCTCAACACTTCAGAAAGGGAAAGTTCTTCGACAACCCAGATGTGATCTCTCATCACGCCCCCTACGTCCTGGACGCTGCATCCGTTTCGTGTAGACGAATCATTTTATTAAACTCTTCCACAGAAACCATTAAAACCAGTCCAGCGTACCTTCAGAGGGTCTCCTGATGATGTGGGAGGACGCGCTGGGAGACGAGGCTTCAGCTGAAAGATGAAAGGAAACACAAGCAGCACCCATTGTTGCTTTAGGCTGAAAATATTCAAGGGTATGATCAGAAGGTTTAACAAACACAGATTATACAGCAAGACTCTAAAATCTGGGATTATAATCTAGATTTGCTGTAATCTTTGAACCAGGAGTCACTGAAATAGTACTCTAGATTATTCTTCTCATTAGCACTTAGATATTTCAGTGAAGTGTAAAGTACATTACAAACACAATGCATTATTATTGTTGTTGTTGTTGTTGTCTCGTTTCTGAATAATTCGATAAATAAAAACTCTAAATAATCTATCCTTTACAATGTTCATTATGTCCTCTTTTTAAATATTAAACGAGGTTCTTTTTGCTTCGGACATGAAGTGTTTCGAGTTACCTTTTACATGTTTGCATGTCGAGCAGTAAAACATTCACGGGGGAAACCAGCAGAACATGACACAAGAAGTAAAGAGCACCAGAAGGAATGTGAGAAGGAAACAACAGAAAGACTCACAAGGACAACAAAGGAAAAAACAGAGGAGCAAACCCTCAGGTCAGCCATCTCAGGTCATTGCAAACAAAATAATCACATCATGGACTGGGATCAAGGGGAAATTATCAACACGGAGAACAACCGGTTCTAACGTTGGGTCAGGGAGGCAATAGAAATAAGGAAACGGGAACATGAACAGTGTAACGATTAAATTTACGTATTATTTAATGAACCATAAAATGTGAGATTCCATAGGAAGTATGAAATCAATCTTATGGATCTGTGGATAACTTAAACCAGAAGATTGGAACTTTTTATTGCAGGGATTATGTAACACTTCGTATTAACTCAGGCCCTGTCCACACGTAGCCGGGGATCTGCCAAAACGTAGATATTTTTCTACGTTTTGGCCTGTCATCCACACGAAAACGGAGTTTTTTCACACGAAAATGAATCTTTTTAAAAACTCCGGCCAAAGTGAAGATCTGCGTTTTCTCCGTTTTGGGTGTCTGCGTGTGGACAGACAAAACCGGAGTTTTAAGGTCCGCAACGTCACTTTCCACGACAAAAAAATGCTGACATCACATGTGCGACCTGTGTTTACACTAGCGGCATCATGGAAGCCCTCAGAGCTGCGCTCGCTTTATCAATTGTCCAAGCGCTTTCTGCTTGTTTGTTTTTGCAAGCGGAATTACTGCTCCTTGCGGAAGACCACAGACGAAGGACGAGGTTAAGAACGGGGGAAGTACTGCCGCCTACAGGTCTGGCATGTCCTTAACAACGTATTTATCCGGGTACGTGTGGACAGTTTTTTTTTTAAACGCGGTGGTGTGGATGCAAGTTTTTGGAGGGGCGGATATTCGTTTTTAAAAAACCCCGGCTACGTGTGGACTAGGCCTCAGAGACAAAAGAGAGTCAAGTTTTAAAAGTTTAAAGATTTATTACTAAACAAATTAAAACTAGACTAACTTTAAACACTAAATGTGTGGTGTAACTAAGGTGAAGTGAGACGGAGAATGGTGTAGTGTGGAATGTTGTTCAGAACCAGCAAATCCGGAGAAACGATTAGTTCTGATGGGAGTGAAGGTGATGTTTCGCACTAGGCTTTGGTTGGGAGATTCATAAACACACGTTGAGACGCCATTCTGCCGGTCTACCCTTAGCGGAAGTCCCCGTCTAGATCAGGAGGTGTAGAGGTCCAGCTTGGACCTTTCTGGAGCCGAAGCCTGTAGCACGACTGCGGCTGCCGACCAGTCCAGTCTTTGAGATACTTCCGGGTCACGACAGTTTTATCGGCATCAAGCGAGACCCAAAAAGGGGTCGTGATGGTTCAGCTTTTATTCTGAAAGGAACCGTTGCAGCAGGTGGAAGAGCAACAGATTTTATCCAGCTTGTCGTTGGTTCTTTTGGCTGAAGAGGAAAGTTACGGATTGGCCACTCCGACAACTTCTCTAGAACGCTTTGAACTGGAGTTTAAGGCCTAGTCCACACGTAGCCGGGGTTTTTTGAAAACGAATATCCGCCCCTCCAAAAACTTGCATCCACACCACCGCATTTTAAAAACAAACTCTGTCCACACGTACCCGGATAAATACGTTGTTAAGGACATGCCAGACCTGTAGGCGGCAGTACTTCCCCCGTTCTTAACCTCGTCCTTCGTCTGTGGTCTTCCGCAAGGAGCAGTAATTCCGCTTGCAAAAACAAACAAGCAGAAAGCGCTTGGACAATTGATGGATCGGGTAGTGACAGAGCGCAGCTCTGAGGGCATCCATGATGCCGGCTAGTGTAAACACAGGTCGCACACGTGATGTCAGCATTTTTTTGTCGCGGAAAGTGACGTTGCGGACCTTAAAACTCCGGTTTTGTCCGTCCACACGCAGACACCCAAAACGGAGAAAACGCAGATCTTCACTTTGGCCGGAGTTTTTAAAAAGATCCGTTTTCGTGTGAAAAAAACTCCGTTTTCGTGTGAAAAAAAACTCAGTTTTCGTGTGGATGACAGGCCAAAACGTAGAAAAATATCTACATTTTGGCAGATCCCCGGCTACGTGTGGACAGGGCCTAAGATGACGTGGGCATAGTTTTATAATTTGGATGTTTTGATTTACGGTCAAATCAAAAGAGGACAGCTTTACCAAGCACCACCAAAACCACGCCTCCGTCAGATCTGGAAGATTCTGAATGGATCAGTAAAAACAGTGTGTCATGTCTTAACGCTACATGAGATCAGTCTCTAGTGGAAACATTTAAAGTTATATTACTTATTATATTCTATAGGATTATAATATCAAGTAATTAATATTTTCATTTCACAGATTGGTTCATATTTTATTATTGACTAACACTTTGTTTGATTAGCTATGGGGTTGGCAACCTTCCCCCATCAAAGAGCCATTATTACCCATTTCCCACAGTAAAGAAAACACTGGGAGCCGCAGCGTTGTGGGCGGGGCCTACCCTCTGACAGCAGAGCGCTGCTTTAACAGATCACAACAGGTGACAGCAACCAATACCAGTCGCTCATGTACCTCAAAGTTATCTTTCAACAGAAGATAATTAATAAAACAGTTTGTTTATAATTGATCCAAAAGTTGAAGCCCGTCTGTGCCGCAATATTTCGATATTTTTCACCCTGCTAGTGGTTTTAGTGGTTGAGCAGGTGACGCTTCTTGAGGCATCACTCATAACTGTTCAGAATACAAATCCAGACTCTGTCTCGTTGGACTGTTGTAATTCAACTTTGTACTGAACTAAACTTTGCATTAAACATTGTTGAAAAGGTAAGAAAAGGCCATTAGTTTTTTGTCCTCGTTTACACTGACGGAGGTAACGGCGCAGCGTGGTGGCTCTGGTGTTCATCAGGTTTAATGCTTCTGTTTGCAACAATCTTCACTAGAAGGTAAGACGGTTAAATGACAGGGTTCGCACGACCCGATGTTTCCCGTATTTATTTTGACGGAGAAATCTCAAGCCTGCAGATGCGCTGACATTTTAACGCACATCGTGGAGGTAGCTACATCAATCAGGAAAAGATTCCCATCAGAACATCTGAGATGGACGCTGAGCTCAGCGCAGCCCGCTGTTAGCGCGCGCGTAGCGTGGACAGCGAGCTGAAGATAGATCGGGGGCTTGGAGCGCGTCGCAGAACCAGAACCATGCAGGAAGATTCTGTGTGTTCTAAACCCGGTCTCTCAGAGACTTGTCACTTAGAAAATGTTCCCTGATTATGAATCTTCGGCTGAATAGCGCTTGTTCCTGTCTCCAACACTGCGACGCATCCACGAGCCTGTCTGAGGAACAGTCCAGCATCTCCTCTTCAGCTCAGAAAGCTCCTATAGAGACATTTGATTACGCACAAGCAGGTGACCTGTTCACGTTTACGCAGACAATCTTTAAATTTAGAATTGGCTACAGATGAAAACATGAATAAAATACATTTTAATTAAATTATCCTTAATTAGCTTACAAGCAGAGTCTAGGGAGCCGCATCAGATGGATGAAAGAGCCGCATGCAGCTCCAGAGCCGCGGGCTGCCGACCCCTGGATTAGCTTTATTAAAACTAGAGTTCTTTGATTTGTTAAAAAGAGAGTCCTTTTCTTCTCTTGAGCTGGAAAATAAGAAACAGTTTAGAAGCAGATGCTTGAGACCTTGAGCAACATCTCATGCAGATTAGTTCTTGGTGAGGGGAGGGGAAATGACTTTTAGGTGGAAAACAGTCATTTCATTCCGTTACAACAGAGACGAGGGGGCCTATCAGCCGTCTCGCACCTGGGATTCCCGTCCCCAAAGACCAGCCAGCGGAGGTGGGCGTGACCGGCCCGGCGGATCTGACAGATCCGGGTTGGTCGCGCCCACCAGTAGAACAGCTGATAAAGACGCGTCACACAAACACCCGTGACACTTCTGAAGAAGACCGCAGACAGCGGATGAAGGTAGTTAGAAACACCTTGATGTCCGAAGCAAAAAGAGCCTTGTTTAATATCTAAATAATCTAATTCCATGCTTTCGTTCTTTTTAAACACAGAAACAGTTTTGTTTACCTGTTTTGTAGCTACAGTATCGCCGACTCGGCGAAACTGTAGCTACAAAACAGGTAAACAAAACAGGTAAACAAAACTGTTTCTGTGTTTAAAAAGAACGAAAGCATGGAATTAGAACCACGACACAGCAAGAACACACCTAATATCTAAATAATCTAATTCTGAATGGTTGGTGTGACGCCAACATCACTTACCTTCATTTTCTTTCCTTTACTGGTAAATTGTGAAAGAAAAGAAAACTTAAAGAACAATCAAATAAACCAGATAAGATGCTGGCTAAGACCAGGACCCTCTGAGTAGACTCGCGCTCGCCGGCGGGAGAGCTCGCTTCAGATGCAGAAAACCTGAATCTTTCGTTTATAAACTAAAACTCTTTCATATTTAGACAGAACTATTAATATTCATATTTTCTGGGTATGAGTTCAGCTGAGGTGAGGAAATAACTCAGATTAATCTTTATAATTTAATCCTAAATCCCCCGACGGGGAGAGCGGACTCTACTCAGGTGTTCCTGTTACGTGACTCGGCTAAAGGTCCAGGGAGACCAGCTTAGGAGGGAAGGAATCTGGGATCTGAGTCGGATCTTTGAGGGAAAGGTTGCTCTTTAGCTGACTGTTGGGGCACTAGGACCAGTGTCTCACTTGGCTGCGGCTGACGGAGTGCACTCGTCTCTAAACTCCAAACCCTCGTGAGACTTTTCGGTTTCCTTGTGTAAGTCACGGAGCCTCCGTGACTTCTTTGAGAGGGGCTGGAGACCAAATTGTGAACAACTGAAACATAATTTGGATGCTTTGTGACTGAAGTTTCACATTAAAAGAGCTTGAGAGTCTCAGTTGTAGGAAACCGTGTCACACGTAGCGTTTAAGAGCGATTCCAGGTGAAAAGACGCAGGTTTCGACTCCAGCTAGCGGCGGCAGCCCGGTGAGATCCTGGCTCCAATCTGCAAACGTGCACGATGCATCACTTCAGTTCCACTTTACCATACAGCTCTGCTCATAAACGACATCGCTAACAGATAGGTCAGTAATAAATCCCTAATAAGGACCATAAACCCACTAAACTGACCGGTTTGTTGCCAAATAGTGAGCCGAATCAGTTAAGCTGCAGTGCATTTATAACTGTTCACTAATTATTAATGAATAATTTTATGTTTTAAACTTTATAATAAGGTCCCTTTAACATTAGTGGATGTTTGTCCTGTAGTCACTATCACAGTGCGCTTAGACTGTGATTTCCCCCAACACCTGAGGGATAGGGTTAGCCCGTAGCCCTTTACAGGGCAACCTCACGGTGTTGTTGTAGTCCATAACCAAAGTCTATTTCTGTCACAATTTTCAAAAATGTTGATTTTCCTGCAGAAAATCAGAGAAAATGAAGTGATGGACGTTGGCCCTGTCCTGGGAAGAAAAATACCAACATAAAATAACACGAACAAGTTAAATCATCGTTGTTTTTGCATAATATAGATAATTTAAGACATTTTAGAATAATCTAGCTCATTTTAGAACATTATACCACTGTTCAAAAATATAGAATACATCACAATATAGTAGCCTGGCCGGCCAGACTCGTCCTGTTTGATTCTGCACAGAGAGAGTCTGGTAACTCACAGGCAGAGCTGCACTCGAGGGGTGGGACTAGGCAGCTCAAAAACAACCAATCAGAAAAAAGACGGAAACCCCGATCGTACCGCGCGACGCTTTCGTTTTTACCTGTAGTAAAAAAGGCGTCTGGCGACGGCGCAAGCATCTTTTATTTTTTTTAGAAGAAATGCTTTTAGAGCTTCTACTTGTGGTTTTTAAGACATTCGAGTCATTTAGAACAGAGGAAAGAGTCGCAGCCAACTCTGCCGCTGTCTTCGTTGTTTACGAGAAACTGAGCGTCGCTGTGCGTGACGTCCGCGACGCTGTAGTTTATTAGCTGTAGTCAAAAATGGCGTCTGGCGACGGCGCAAACATCTTTCTTTAGAAGAGAGGCTGTTAGCGCTTCTACTTGTTTTTTAAAAGATGTGTCCAAGTCATTCAGAACAGAGGAAAAAGCCGCAGCGAACTCCGTTTCAGTCGCCATGTTCGACAAACTCGGCGTTGTGGTGTGTGACGTACGATACTCAGCGCCGATTGGCTCGGTTGCGACTCTCCGGGGGTGGGGTTGTGTGAACAGGAGAGTTCCCAGACCCGTTCTCAGTGCAGAATTAAACAGGAGGAGGGGTCTGGCAGGCCAGGCTACAGTATAGTATATTTTTATAAAAAAGGATTTTTGTGGAATATTTTTGAAAAGTTATTGAACTTTAGATACTATCTCTGATCAAATACAGATTATTTTATATTTGAGGATCTGCCTCAGTGTCATCTTCCTCCTGTTCATCATCATCACTGATGGTGAGATGGGTTGGTGCAATAACTGTCCTCCTCAAGACATCTTCGCTTAAAACTACAAAATATATTCAGTATCATAATTGTTATTTTTGCTGTTACCATGAATATTACGATTATGTCTAAAAAAAAAAACTACAGAATTTACCTAAAAAATATTCATAATTTCTTTGACTTGTTCAGGGCGTGTGTTCAAAACTGGAAGATTTGATTTTCATGCTAAGATTTCACCAACTTTATTGAGTTTAACATTTACAACACATGAACCCTTATCTAGCACAACTGGTCAACCTTGTGGCGTGAGAGTTTCATAAACCTAGCTTTGTTTGTTTTCCAGATCTGACCGTAAACACGAGAGAAGACCGAGGAGTCTTCTGGCTCTGCAGACGCACCGATATTTGGTGCGTTAATGCCCCGTGCTGATTGGTGGAATGGCGTCATGGCGCAAACCGTGACTAGCTTGATCTCTGATGATTGTTTGGGGGAAATCTCATAATTCTAAGAGTTTGTGAAAAGGCACATCGACATAATTTATGATGTGAGTGGAAGTGTCTAAATATGGACGTTGGCCCTATCAATGGTTGAAGCTGAGTGTCAAGCAGGGAGGCATTGGGTCCCATTTCTAGTCTTTGGTATGACCCGACCGGGTAATGGTAAAAAGTAGGGATGTGTATTTTTGAAATTCTGGTGATACGATACATATCACGATACAGGGGAGACGATACGATATATCACGATATATTGCGATACATTCAGTCAGACGTTACAAGCTATTTTTTTTACTGAATTTATTGTAAGAATGTTCAATAAACAGTCCAAACTGATACGTAACATGTTTAACATGAGGTATCTGAACCATGATGGAGGGATTTACATTTCAGTGGTGGAAACAAAACCCGCTGCACACTGCTGCCAACTAGCGGGTGGCGATTGAATTGCGCAAAACGAAAAGAAAATACACAAATGTTTGCATGTAAATTCTTTCAGGAATTAGATACACTGCTTTTGAATATCGATGTAATAATCGCAGGAAAAAATATCACGATATATTGCCATATCGATATTTCCGATACACGGCTTTTGAATATCGATATAATATTGCTGGGAAAAATATCACGATATATTGCCATATCGATATTTTCTTACATCCCTAGTAAAAAGTAAAGTAAAGTTTTCAGAAGCTCGTAGTGCTGATGAGATTGGGACTATGACCCGACCGAGACTCGGGGAGAACTGCAGCTGCATACCCCGGTCAGCGTGTCCCATTACCGTGTTGACGGGAGGAGATGAAGTCTGCTCTTGGGCGGGATGTACCGAGGCGCTGGTTCAATGCAGAGCCTCTGATTTCCACTCCATCAGAACTTCTGGATAATTTTACTGGACTGCCGCGGGTCTCCATTTCACCAAACTGTCCCACTTTCAGGGACCGACCTAGTACCCGGGCTGGGGTGTGTACTCGGAAAGGGCCTGGTAGAGTCGCTGGGCGGGACTTGTGGTTATCTCATGCTGATTGGTTGTAAAATTGAAAGAGTTGATGGTGAAGCGGAATGGAAGGAAGACCCAATGCGCAGCAGGACCGCTTACATGAGCGCCTGTAAAAAGTAGCTCTTCCTTTATGTCCCACAACCACCGAGTGGATTAGACTGTGTCGTACTTTGACAGAAGAAAATGTTTTAATGATATCCGCGTGCATGGATGCATTTTATTGTTGATCAGTGATGTCACTCATAGCTGAAACACCTTAGCATAGTTCCATGGAGGCACAATGGCTGAGAGGACCAAGCCAACGTGTTTTCCCAGTCCCCTTCCCCCGCCTACAGATGTCCTGGACCTCCTAAAGCAGAAACGTGGTCTGAAATGTTTATTAAAGCAACTCCAGATGAAATATATATAAGGGAAAAGATTTGACTCACTATTTAGCAAGAAACCCCTTTGTTTAGTCTCACTCATACCTCAGTGATAGTTAATGACTTATAAAGTGTTGCAGATAAACTGATGACAGACCTATGACCCTTTTATGAGGGGGTCCTCTTAGTTCTGTCACTGCTGATGCACAGTGCTTCTCACAGACGCCAGTGATGGGAGGCTGAGCCAGGTGGGGGTGGTTTGGTCTCGAGGAGGTTAAAAATGAAGTGCTTCATACTCATTTAGCTTCCTAAAAAGGCCGGGGATTGGAGATCCAGGAGCTGTGAGGAGGTGAGGATAGCTGGAGATTACCTGAGTGGTTTTCCACGGGGCGAGGAGGAGCCGGGGGAGCTGGAGTAGCAGGGGGAGCCGAGGGAGGAGGAGGGGGAGCCGAGGGGGTGGCTGTGGCCGGACACGGCGCAGCTGGACCGGGATCGGACCCGAGCTCACTGGGCTCCTCCCCACTGGTGCTGGCTTCTACTGCTGGTTAGGACCAAATAATAAAACATCAGGAGGTGGTTGGAGTGAATGGGCTGGTCCATCACAAACCCCCAAAAATCAGACCCCAAAACTGTCGGTTATTGTACTTGTCTACTTTCTGAACGACTCTTCTGCGTAACAGATGAACGTTGCTGTCAAACAAAATGTAAAACAAGCAAAGACTTTCGTGTCCTTGTATCGGGACATTTGAAAGACGTGACAAACGGCACTCACCAGGCACCATCACCGGGACGACGTCCCCATCTGGAGGTTCTGTTTTAATCCTCCTCAGAGGAACGCCGTCACTGGAAGGACCTGCGCGATTTCAAACGGATTTAAGGACAAAACGCGTGTCTGATTGGACTAAAATGACCTCAATGGAGACAAAAACACCTGAGGACAGGACATCAGTGTCCAGCGTCTCAACGTGATAATAATGAATTAGATAATTAAAGTTCCTGAGCCGCTTCTTTAATACTAGACAGAAAAGGAAAAACTCAACAGGTATTTCTTATTTAACGATTACCTGCTTCACAGTCGGCCTGGGGGCTCACACACGCACTCGTTGATCTGCGAAACAATCAGAAAATAAAAACCCTTTCATGTGATTGTTTTACAAAACAAAAACATCTGAATTCACCAGAATCAAAGCTCTGATCAGCTGATGCTGACTGAAGCCTGAGGAGTCTGAGGCGGCGTTTCTGTAGTGATTGACCTCTGACCTCAGGAGGGAGGTCATGGAAATCCACGCTTGGGAATTTGTCTTTAACGCTTCCACTAGTGAAATATCTTCCTGTCTGTAGAATAACAGACTCCAGATTGTTTGGGGATGACCTTTAACCTTTCTCAGATCATGAGCTGCTTCCCTCCGCTGTCGTCCCTTCTTGGTGTTAAAGGTCAACTCTACTTCTATGTTTTAATACACTGACAGTGGTCTCTAGTAGGAATTAATGCCTTGTAATTAGTTCTCAGGGCAGAAAGAGCTCCGGTGCGCCTGTGTGACGACGTAGAAGACAGCCAGAGAAAATCGATTCACACGACAGGATTTAGAGTCTTATTTCCTGATATTTGGACTTCTCTCCTCTGATTGGCTAAAAGCAATGCGACTCTTCCACTGTGACGATGATAATCAAAAATAATATTTAAAACTATTTGATTTCAAGACAAAACGGATGAGTCTTGTTTTTATTATACGATGAAACGAAAATTTACAACATCCGTCTATTTTCAGCCGCCTATCCGGAGTCGGGTCACGAGGGCAGCCGCCTAGGCCGGGATGCTCAAACTTCCCTCTCCCCAGCTACTGGGGCCAGCTCTACCGGGGGAATCCCAAGGCGTTCCCTGGCAAGCTGAGAGACATAGTCCCTCCAACGTGTCCTGAGTCCTCCCTTGGGTCTCCTCCCGGTTGGACGTGCCCGGAAAACCTCACCAGGGAGACGTCCAGGAGGCATCCTGAGCAGACGCCCGAGCCACCTCAACCGGCTCCTCTTGACGTGGAGGAGCAGCGGATCTACTCCGAGCCCCCACCCCCCGGATGACCGAGCTTCTCACCCTATCTCTAAGGGAGCCCGGCCACCCTGCAGAGGAAACTCATTTCGGCCACTTGTATCCGTGATCTCGTTCTTTCAGTGACTACTTTATAACTAATTTATAACCTAAAAGATAAAATAAAAATAATAACATTCGAGGGAATGATGAATTCTGAATTCAGCTGCAGTAAATGGGTCCGACCTGCTGCTGTGAGGGTTGCTGAGCAGCTCGGTCGCGGTGGGGAGCATGCTCAGACCGTCGCAGAAGCCGTCGTCGGGCGTGGCGCTCAGATCGAGCCTCCCCTCCTCCCGCGCTAGCTTACCAGCAGCTGCACCAAAACAACAAAAAGGGACAAAAACTGTTTCAAAATAATTAGTGACACTAAGCAGAAGAAGCCATGGAGGCAGATTAGCAGTAAAGGGGCCAAATAAACTAAATCAATAAAAATGAGTTACAGCCTTACCAGTAAAAATCCTTTCATCAAACATTCTGGAACATAAAAAGACAAACGTGTGGTTAGTCGCAGGTCCCAGCGAGCGTCTCAGCTCTCAGGGCAGGAAAACCCGACGCAGAGTCTTCAGGAGCGGATTCAGCATAGAAACATGTTTTACAGGAGAAACTAGCACGCTGGTCTGGTCTCTGTCAGAGCAGATTTTACTTGTTTTTATTATTTATTCCTGTTGGAAAACATTTCAAACCAAACGGTTTACTTGACTCGTCAATCATCATTTATTACAGGAGAAAAAGATTTTTCCCAGGCTGGAATAATGGAGAAACTTTATTCTGATGCATTCATCCGTAACTTTTCACTCACTAGTTTTGATGATTTTCCTCAAAACTATATTTATTAAGTTCAAAAGAAAACTGAAGACCACCTAATGGATCCCTGTACACAGTAATGCATCATATAACCATGTTCTGTTTTTAGAAAATAAATTCATTTTATTAGTTTCCTGGTGTAAAATCAAATAATGAAATCATCAAAATGTTCTTTTTTATTCTAGGACTTACGTCTGTTTAACTGGAGCTTCTGAGTCAATTAAAACCAGTTTGTTAGTGAAACGTAAACCACAGCATCCACGCTGGTTTGCCGGAGTTTCTACCAGGGTATCTTCAGGTATAAGGGAGCCAAATTTAAGACCTTTTTTAAGAAATTTAAGCAATTTTTTAAAATTTAATTTAAGCTATAATTTCCAGCTATTGTCTGGAACCGGTGCTAACCATGTCGTAAACGTGGGATTAGCCACCCAGCTACCATTAAACTTGCACTTCCCCATGATGCAATCATCTAAAAACAGCCCCCCTTCACAACCAACTGAATGTGAACGGTTCCGCTTACGCCAACATCATACACAAAAAATGCTGAACACCAACTAGAAATTCACAAAAATTTTATAGAAATAAAAATATCTTGTTTATTGGGTCTTTGGTAATTTAAGACCTTTGGAAACCGTATTTAAGGATTATTTGTGATTTTTAAGGATTTTTAAGGCCTTAAATTTGGAAAAGCAAATTTAAGACTTTTTAAGGACCGGCGGATACCCTGTTCTACACATGTGCAGGACTGGATAAGGCGGGTTTCTGATGAAGGTAATCCGGACGCTCCATCTGAGGCTCTGAGGTTTAATCTGTGACGATAATCTAGGAGTGAAAGGAAACCCAATTCAACAGGAACCAGGTTGTTCTGTGGCTCCTCCCCCCACAGAAACGTTTAACAGGCGCTAAACGAGTGATGAAATGTAACCCCCCGTCGACGCCAGATGTGAGTTTTCATCTGTGTGACGTCGTTTAGAGCTGCAAACGTTTTAACTTTAACTGAATCAGAGTGGTGAAGCCATCAGGGTCTCCATGAGGAACATCTCTCAAAGACAGTAGAAATGTGATAGAAGTCTGGATGAATGGCATCCAGTCCTTCCTAATTCTATTAACACTAATGAGCTGCCTGCAGGACGGGTGAGGAGCTGCGTCACCTCCAGCGAGACGCGGTGGCTCGTTTCAGTTAGCTCCAACAAACGGGAGGAGGAGCGAGCAACACGCAGGCGAGGGGGGTGGGCGTGATCCACCCGCCTGGTCTGGGTGGTGGACGCTGATTAAAGAGTTTACTGAACAACAACCGTTCTGTGTTGATCACATGATAAGGTCTCCATGGTTACCGTTTGATGATGAACCTGATCCCGTGGCGCTCGTCCAGGATGCGTTTGAGCTTCGGGACTCCGTACGTGCACGGCCTCTTGAAGGGGATCTGATCGGGGATGCCGATGATCTCCACGGCTCCGGGATCGCAGGCGATTTTACGGTAGGGGACAGGCACCATGTGGTCTAGACCCAACGCCTCGGCTGGGGGGAAAAAACATGCTCACTGTTTATTTATTCAAATGAAAACAGCTAATAATCTACAAACACTTCACCCAGAGGGATGAAAAACCTCACGTGAGACTTTTTAAATGAAGATAATTAAATCTAAACGAGAAATACATTTTAAGTGAATGATAATTAGCTCTGAGAGCTTGGATGGTCCCATGGGTCTAAAAAGTAGAAACGCGGTAATAATCACTAAAAAGTTCCAATAAACATCCTCTGGATTAAACATCAAAGCTTGTTTTGCATCGCTAATAAAAAGTATGGAGGTCGTTAATAAACATTCTGGTTAATAAAGTCTGAGCGAGGAACACCTTTCTACTACATCTGGGGTGTTTTACGGCACAAATGATTTTAATCTTTGTTTCTCCAAACAGGAGCCAATCAGGAAGCTATTTATTATTAATTATTAGCCAAAATCAAATCAAATCAAACTTTTTTTGTATAGCACTTTTCATGCATAGGATGCAACACAAAGTGCTTAACAGATTGAAATGACCCATATAAAGCTTAGTTTATGCTTGACGCATTCACTTTCTGCTTGGTGATGCGGCTCGTGGATGGAACGCGCTTCACAACTATTGCGTCATACCCGTGTCAAAACCCGTGCACGCGCATTGGGTCCACAGCGCGCGTGTGAACGGGACTCGCGAGCGGAAATATACATGGCGAGAGGTCATTTGTGCACTGAGAGGGAGCAAACTGTGCCTGTGAGCGCACAAGGATGTGCACAAGTGACAAACCTGCGTGCGCGCGTTGTCAACGAGCACACGGCAGAGGAAAACGTGCGCGCGCGGCAGCCTCTGTGCGCGCTCGGCAGCCTCTCTGCGCGCTCGGTTTCTGACTCCTGCTCGCTCGGCTGTAAGGGTTTTGGCACTCTGGAGGCGTGGCCTGTGGCAGATCTCCTCTGTCCTCTGATTGGTTAGTGTACCCCGCACTTTACCCTCTACCTATCTATATAAAAAAGTCTACTGGTCAAGTAGTTGCTGGCATAGCTCAGTTGGAAGAGCGGGTGACTCTCGCCCCGGAGGATCCAGGTTCGAGGCCGGGCAAGGAAAATGCAGTAGATGTCATGTTAACTTTTCTTAATTTCAGGTATTTTACAGTTGTGACCGTTCAACTGTCATTAAACGTCCGAATGTTTGCTGGGCAGTGTTTTAAAAAGTGCACATAAGCTAGATGGTTTTAACCATATAAAATTACATTTTTTGTGATACTGGAAAAATACATACTGAAATAAAACTACTGATTGAAAACTTTATGACTGTGGTTGTACAATATATGACTCACTAATACACTGCAAACTCCCTTAGAGTGGGGCTTCCAGAGAGAGAGAGAGAGAGAGAGAGAGAGAGAGAGAGACAGAGAGAGAAAAGTTCTTGCCTCATTAATGAATTGTTTATTTTTTTCAGTATTTAATTGACAAATTATCCTTTCAAATAATTAATTGATGAGTTACATAATTGTCCATTTAGAATTGTTGAATGGACTGAGTCAAGTTTGGTGCACTTTATATATTTCAAAACATGTTTTTTTTTTAATTTTAATGATGCATATAAATAATTTAAATGTTAATTTAATGAAATATTTCTATTTTTTCATTACCTCACCCTTGTTTTGACAAAAACGGGACCTTGCTGGATAATATCATGGAGAAACTATTTGTTCACAGTACATGGCTCAGTGAGGATCTGTGTACCAAAGGAGGAGATACTCAGAAATCTGTCTGCAGATTGTTACAACTCAGACTGGAAGTGGCGGGCTGTAATAAGAAAGGAGACCAAACAGAGGAGTGGGGGTTCAACAACTGATTTATTTAACAAAAGTAAAGATTTACTAAAGCAAGTTAGTGAACAGAAAATGGCCAGTGAGGACTCTCCACCACACAGGAGAGACCGAGTGAAAGCAGAAAAACAGTAGGCTTTGTAGGCAGCACCACACCCTGAGCCCAGGTGCCTCCAAGGCTGCTTAACCAGCTGCCTACAACAGAAGAAAAACACAATTAAACACAAATGAAAACCCAATGAGATGGTGGGGGCATCACAACACGTTCAGGACTACCCAAACACCAGTAATTCTTGACTGCACTGATCTGAGGTGTCAATGGCCATATTCCCCTCTCTTCCAGAGTCATATATTTTCCTCAAGTTCAACTGCACTCTGAAGAGGCTCATTTGGATTGTGCCACATAGGCCAGTGACCTTTGTCTCAGCACTGTATGCTGGAACTATCAGCGACCAACCTGGGAATCTGGTGTGTTGAAAATGCTACAACTAGAGATGGTCATCTTGGTAGACAGGGGTTTCTTCATTGATGACATTGTGCCCTGCAAAGTGTACAGGCCAGCTTTCCTTTCTGGCAAACCTCAAATGTCTGCATGTAAAGTTATAGAAACAGAAGCCATAACATCTCTGAGTGCATGTGGAGCGCTCCATTCATCTGGTCCAAGAACACAAGCATTTTGATTGTTATTCCCCTCCTTGCATTTGTAAACAATCAGCTATATGCTGTGGTTTTTCTCCTTACCAACTTTTAAAATAGCCCACTAGTGAAGGCCTGGGCAAAGAAGCCTGATGTCTGAGAACCTCAACATATGTACGGCAACCACACTGTATATTTACACACTTTCATAAAGAAACTGCATATCAAGCTTTCATTCAGATGACCTTCAACAGTGCTGCACCCTGCTGAGGGACATCCGAGTAAAACCTTGAGATGGCCATTTTCTGTTCACTAACTTGCTTTAGTAAATCCTTACTTTTGTTAAATAAATCAGTTGTTGAACCCCCACTCCTCTGTTTGGTCTCCTTTCTTATTACAGCCCGCCACTTCCAGTCTGGGTTGTAACAATCTGCAGACAGATTTCTGAGTATCTCCTCCTTTGGTACACAGATCCTCACTGAGCCATGTACTGTGAACAAATAGTTTCTCCATGATATTATCCAGCAAGGTCCCGTTTTTGTCAAAACAAGGGTGAGGTAATGAAAAAATAGAAATATTTCATTAAATTAACATTTAAATTATTTATATGCATCATTAAAATTAAAAAAAAAAACATGTTTTGAAATATATAGAGTGCACCAAACTTGACTCAGTCCATTCAACAATTCTGAATGGACAATTATGTAACTCATCAATTAATTATTTGAAAGGATAATTTGTCAATTAAATACTGAAAAAAATAAACAATTCATTAATGAGGCAAGAATCTCTCTCTCTCTCTCTCTCTCTCTCTCTCTCTCTCTCTCTCTCTCTCTGGAAGCCCCACTCTAAGGGAGTTTGCAGTGTATTAGTGAGTCATATATTGTACAACCACAGTCATAAAGTTTTCAATCAGTAGTTTTATTTCAGTATGTATTTTTCCAGTATCACAAAAAATGTAATTTTATATGGTTAAAACCATCTAGCTTATGTGCACTTTTTAAAACACTGCCCAGCAAACATTCGGACGTTTAATGACAGTTGAACGGTCACAACTGTAAAATACCTGAAATTAAGAAAAATTAACATGACATCTACTGCATTTTCCTTGCCCGGCCTCGAACCTGGATCCTCCGGGGCGAGAGTCACCCGCTCTTCCAACTGAGCTATGCCAGCGACTACTTGACTAGCAGACTTTTTTATATAGATAGGTAGAGGGTAAAGTGCGGGGTACACTAACCAATCAGAGGACAGAGAAGATCTGCCACAGGCCACGCCTCCAGAGTGCCAAAACCCTTACAGCCGAGCGAGCAGGAGTCAGAAACCGAGCGCGCAGAGAGGCTGCCGAGCGCGCACAGAGGCTGCCGCGCGCGCACGTTTTCCTCTGCCGTGTGCTCGTTGACAACGCGCGCACGCAGGTTTGTCACTTGTGCACATCCTTGTGCGCTCACAGACACAGTTTGCTCCCTCTCAGTGCACAAATGACCTCTCGCCATGTATATTTCCGCTCGCGAGTCCCGTTCACACGCGCGCTGTGGACCCAATGCGCGTGCACGGGTTGTGGCACGCTTTAAACGCCATACACAACTCGCAGCATTTATGGTTCATGTGGCTTGTCTCTGCGGTGAGCCAATATTCTCCCAAACTGTAGGGGGCAGCATGGAGCTCTACGGCATGCACCCAACACTACACCATAGTAGAAGTAGAAATTACTGTTTACAACATGGCATTCCAACATTTTTAACAGCGTCCTCGTCTTTTCCGACAGTGCGAGCTATTTCTCTCCAAGAATTATTAACAACATGTTGATCACGGTGATCTCTGAGAGCTGAATCATACAAATGTCTGTATTTATGAACCTCTGCCATACTAGTTCTTGCCAGTCCGCCATGTTTTTCCGCGACCGTCCGTCCACGTGGTTAGAAATTTTCCGAGGTGTGCGTTGCGGAAATTCTGGGCCGTGCGGACGGAGGCGCGGTGGAGGGGCGTGGTTGTTAAAATGACGCAAAATGGCACAACTTTTCCGCGCGGAGCCGTGCGGACCTCGCGGACGCGTCAAGCATAAACCAACCTTAACCCACATTCCCTCCCTTTCCCACACTTAATACAATTGTGACAGTTTCACCCCCAATCCACAAACCATTCCTAGGCGCACACACACACACACACACACACACACACACACACACACACACACACACACACACACACACACACACACACACACACACACACACACACACACACACACACTAGGCTGAGCTCAGATTGGACAGGTAATGAAAGACCCGCCATCAAGGGAGCCATCTGCCTCGACAGCAGCAGATCCACGGCAGCAGCCAAGACACCAATCCAGGGCGCCTTGGGAGGGAGGGTGGCAACCCCCACCACTACCTGGGCACTACCCTAGGAGCGCCCCAGCCGCCGCCACCGACCACCGGTCCCGAGGCAGAGGGCTCCCCAGAGGAAACACTGGAAGGATTAAAATACGTGATGTAAAATAACAGGAGCTAATATGGAAAATATCTAATAAAATGTGATTATTCAAATAAAACATGTAACACAACAGTAATAAAAAATAAATAAATAAGTAAAACAAGCAATGCAATAAATAGTAATCTTATTTAAGTTCTTTCAAGGCTAATTTTACAACTTTCCAGCACCTCCCAATGATGATTTATGTGTGTAAGAAAAAAAAAACGATGACTCACTTACAGTCACTGACTGAACTGATCAGGCTGAAAATATCTCTGTCTTTTTCTCTTTTCAAGCACTTTGGAAATATGTTAAATTCAAGCTTTTTTCCAGGATTTCAAGCACCTGTAATGACCCTGTTTCTACAGAAACTTGACATTGGCTGAAATGTTCCTTTAACGTGACCTGGGCGACTCAGAACCAAAGCCGTTCTTACCGTATCGGCTGTTGAACAAGATCTGAACACATTCCCTCAGCGTGTTGATGTCTTCAGTTTCCCTGATGAACAGGTCCCACTTTTCTGCAGGAAGACCAAAAGAACACGCTTCATTTTTTTTGTTTCCTGGAACTCAAACAGTCTAAATGACTGTTCTCACCCTGCAGAGTCAGAAAAATATCTGGAATTAATCTCCTCTTTCTAAATGCCAACTTGGTAAATCAGTGCAATCTTCTTAAAGGATTAATCTTGACAGCTTATTAGCTTAGCCTGTAACAGCTAAGAGTTGGTTTCCATCAACAAAACACAAAATCCAATCTGGAACAGAGAAGAGTTCAACCAAAACAAACAAGCTGGGATTTACAGGCTCTAAAATAACCGTACATGCTTCGTTAACATTTCCGTAGCGTGAGATCGGCCTTCACCTTTACCACAGCGTTTTACCCTAACAACATTTTATTTTTCTGATTTTTCATCTTGATTAAAGACGAAAATGAGCATCTGGTCTGTGACGGTTTGGGTTTGGATCAACGCTTCTGGTGAAGCTTATTAGCATTTCAGTGGCAAGAGCATTACTGGTCTTTTAGAGTAACTAATGGTAAATGACCTGTGTTTGTAAAACACCTTCTAGGGTTCTACAACACCCCAAGGCACCTCACACAACAATCAGTCATCCACACATTCACACCCTGGTGGTGATGAGCTACGATGTAGCCACAGCTGCCCTCGGGCGCACTGACAGAGGCGAGGCCTGCCGTACACCGGCGCCACCGGTCCCTCCAACGTACTTATGCTGCCTTCAGGTCAGGATCTTTTTTCCCGGAGCATCCGGACATTTTTTAACAAAATGACGTAAAACCACCTCACAGAGATAAATAAAGTCTGCAGACTCAGGACTTCACCTTCAAGTTGGTTTGTTTTCCCTTTCCCGTACTCAGTGTTGTGCTGGGTCTGTGATCCTAAACCTGTTAGGGGTCTGCAGTAAGGAGGTGTGTACCCGCACACATCACACATTTAGGGAGGTGCGATTTCACTTCTAATGGAGTTTCGAGTTACTAAATCTGAGCCAATTTTTCTGAGAACCGGCTTCTTCCCCAACACCTCTCTGGACTTGTGGAGTTCCCCAAGGGTGCGTTCTTGTGCCACTTTTATTTTATAAAATCTTTTTTAACTCATTCACTGCCAATGACGACTAAAGTCGTCATTTGCATGTTTTTACTGTGTGTTTTTAAATGCGCTATATAAATAAAATTGGATTGGAATTGGGCATCGGAACGAGCCCCCACACTGAGAGAACAAACATAGCTCTGAAGCCGATCTTCATCAGCATACGTCACACGTCACATGATCAGGAAGCAGAACATCCATGTGTTAAGAGATTGTTTTGGGCCGTTCCTGTAAAAGAAGTGAGGCGCGAACCGGAAAAGCTTGTCGATCGCAATTCGACAACGGATTATGAAAGAACGGACACGCAGATTCTCCCTAATGTAAGAAGTGAGTCTCCGCTTTGCTTTGGTTGTTTTGGCGTCGACATCATCCTAGCGCGCAACGTTCTGTCACTCGTAAAAACAGTAAAAACGGCTTTACCGATCAGGAAACGGCTGGCAGCTGTAGCGTCACGAAGGGACTGTTTTCCACCTAAAGGTCATTTCCCCTCTCTCCTCATGAAGAACTAATCTCCTTGAGATATTGCTCAAGGCCTTTGATGCCTCTGCATCTAAACTGTTCTAACTAGCTATCTGCCTCCCCCTACAGCTCAAGAGAAGACCAAGAAGAACTCTCTTAGAAATCAGAACTCTATTAAATAATAATTAAATAACGTCTGTTAGTCAAATAAACACGTGAAGCCTAATGTTCAATCTGTGAAATGAGAATATTAATTACTTGATATTATAATACTGTAATCAGTAGTTTTGCATAAGAATTAGCTTGGTACAGAAGCACTAGACACTCCTATCACACGTAATGTTAAAATCACATGACACATTCCTTTTGTCTCTCCAATCAGAGCTTTCCTTTCTGACGGGTGGCGTGGTCTGTGCGGTGCTTAATTTTGGTGTCAAATTCCGATTCGACCATAAATGAAAACATCTGAATTATAAAACTAATTCCCACGCCACCCTTAACTCAGTTCAAACGTTCTAGAGCTTCGAGCCGGCCACTCGTAACTTTTTAACCACAAAGAACCTCGACCAGCTGGATAATAAAAGCTGTTGCAAGCTGCACCTGACGCAACGCTCCTCCAGAGTAAAAGCTGAACTCACTGACCCTTCAGGGTCCCGCTTACGCTGTCAAACACCTGTCGCTTACCTGGAGGCAATCCCAAGACTAGTCTGTCGTACCGTACGCTGTTTCATCGGCTCCGGTACCTAAGGGAGGTCCAAGGACCTGGGATTCTGGATCTACAACAGAGGTCTCCGTCAAGGGTATGTAGGGCGGCAAGATAGCGTCTGAATGTGGTTTTTGAAACTCCGACTGCAGTTTAGAGCAAAAGCATTCGCTCCCACACAGAAATGCTTCTCCGGAAACGAGAGTTCTGATAACACATTCCACATTTACACATCCATCTTGCCTCATTCACACCTAGATCCATTCATCACACTGAGTGTTTAGAGTCAGTTAGCCTTATTTTAAATAGTTTAGAAATAAATCTTCTTAAACTTTAAAACTTGTCTCTCTCTCTCTTTTGACTCTGGGTTAGTACGAAGTGTTACCTAATCCCTGCAATAAAACGTTCAGATCTTCTGTTTAAAGTGATGTTCAAAGATCCATCAAACTGAATTCATACTTTCTATGGAATCTCACCTTCGATGGTTTCTTACTTAAGATGTAACTAACGAATCGTTACATACCGAAGGGCTTTACCGATAAGGAAACGGCTGGCAGTTAAAGAGTTAACATTGTGGTTCCTATGCTGGTGAGCTAGAGTTGAAAACCTGGAAAATCCTTTAAAGACTGTAAATCACTCTTTCCCTCCAGAAAACATTTGCTGAGAAATAATGGGGGTAATTTTGGTAAAACTTTAAAAAAACAACAACATTAAGTCACGCCATAACGCCAACACTCGTTCAGCGCAGGAGTCTCATTAACCTGTAAAGTCATTGTTGTGCTGCTAGAAATGGCTACGTTCTGCTAGGGCAGCCATCTTGAATCGGATAACTGCAGTTGTAGATGTTTAGTTTCGTTACAGTCCATCCTGTTGTTTATGAGATCTGTTGCTAACAAAGACCTCTGTGGGCCACGCTGTAGGAAATAATTAGCTTGTAAAACAACTACTTTTGTTTCTGGAGGCTTTAGCACGCCTTCCTCAGACCAACCTGACTTTTCATGCACGATGGAGAAGAGCAGCCTCTTGGAGATGTGGATTCCAGGAGGACTCTGACCCTGCTCACCCGGCAGCCTCGTTGGCTCGTCTAAAGAGTGCAAAGCAAATAAAAAAAATTCAGCTTCGTTCGTTAGGAAGGTCATTCTAGAAGCTGCACACTCAGCTCATTTTCTTAATTACTTTAATTATAGCTGCAGAAGCGCCAATCTAAATCAAGAATTCTGTTGGTTTTTTTAATACTGGATATAGTTTTTCTGCATCTTACAAGATAACAAAAATAAGATTTTACCACTGTTGGCACTGTCCTTTACAGAGGAGCCCTTGTCCGTCCCTGATGTCCAGCTGGACAGCCGGTCTTTGCCCAGGTTGAGGAGGGACGTTGGTTTGAAGTCCAGCATGCCGTCTGGATGAGGTTTGGAGGACATGGGCATGCCGTACAGGAAGTTAGACAGAACGGAGTTGCTGCAGTAGGCGGGGCTGGGTGAGGTGACCGTCTGGGCGGAGGTCTTTCCTGCACTGTGGCTGCTCTGCGCCATGACGCTGCTGGAAGAGCTGTTACTGACGTCCAAGCTGGACTTGGCTTCTCGAGGCGAGTCGTCTGTTTGCCTGGGCGATCAAATCAAAGTCAGAAATAGATCAAAACTTTTGTGTTTTATAGAGTAAAACCTCCCCTTCGCTAACTTTTACGAGCTCGTGCGGTTCTCCTCTGAGGCAGGATGTAAACGGACCAAAAACTCATCACATGCAGCAGTTAGTAACATTTAACTTAATTATAGAGTGGAGAGAAAACAGGAAACCTCCAATTTGCAGAGAGTGATCAGCCAACATGGCTGCAGGTAGGGGAGGAAAACGTCTCTGCCCGGGTTAATTTCAGCTGTGAGACGTGCCACGGGGTTTGTAAAAATGTTTTAATGTATGTTGTTGATTTCTTATAATTCCATTTGTCTGAGCCACCAGAATAAACCAGATTAGTCTCTGATTCTCAGATTTATTTTCTTTAATCTGTTTAACAGGTTTTCAGTTACAAACAAGGAGAATCCTCGTCTTCTAAAAGCAGTAAATACAACCTGGACTCTGCAGACCCCGATATTTAAAATAGGAGTATTTTTCCACCCAAAGCTGAATATAAAAGCTGGTCCGCCCGTAATTACCATCCCTCCACCAGTAAGGCGTACCCAGGCAGCTCTCAGCCTCCAGCTACATACAGGAGCATCTCTGGAAACCATTAGAGGCTGAAATTAGTTATTTGATGTGAAACAGCTGCTTTCCTGATGTGCTACAAGCTTTAAAACGCCCGTCGGTTCTCCAAAACAGCTGTTTATATATTTATTCACTCCGTTTTCATTTGACAGGCTCACTTTTTGACAGTGAAGTGGATCCGGTGGCTCTGCTCCAGGATCTTCATCAGGGTATTGGTGTCGTACTCCGAGGGCTTCTTCAGGGCGACTCCATCGGGCAAACCGTGGGCCGTCACGCATCCCGGGTCCTTCTGGATCCACTCGTAAGGCACAGGGATCAGGCTGCTCTTCCCCACAGCCTCACCTGTGTGTCAAATATAAATTATGCACTAAAAAACCCAACCTGACTGAAAACACCACACCAAGTGACTCCTTACTGTAAAGGACAGTAAAGACTTCCTCCACCATCTTCCTCAGAACAAAGATGTTGGACGGGGTCTCCGATGGCGCTCTCGCTTTTCCGTGCTCTCCATCTTTACTCAGTTTGCTCACGTCACCTTCCTGGTCTTTGGTATGGGCGTTTGCTGTGGTCAGATTCTGCAGACATGGAACCCCTGGAGACAGAGGACCGGAGACGACTCTCAGTGCAACAATGGCGTGTCCAGATCTTTTAAACTGGGGTGGCCCAGGTGAGGCACAACTTTGTGCATGGGTGGCACCAATGGTTATGCTTTTTTTGTTTTACCCCCCAAGCCTTTTGTGGACAATGAAAAGCCTATTTAGAGGTAAATTAGTGTGGTGGCATCTGGGGTGGCCAATCAGATTCCAAGGGTGACATGTGCTACCCCAGGCGGCTCCCCTGCAGTACAAACAGCAAAGGGACCACGCTTTGTGTGTTAGCTAAAAAAAATCCCACAAGGTGCTTTGGATGATGTAGCTACTGCCTAAATGTAAAAACTGCTGTTAGTGAGTCGTTAGGGTAACCACGGTAACCTCACCCCTGTCTGACAGGAAACTTATGGGCCATTCCCTTCTGTACCGGGTCGGCCCGGGCCGGGTAGCGTAGGTTGTTTACATATCTGGGTGGCCTGGTATTTTTCCGGGCCAACCAAGGCTCATTCTCAGCCCTCTTCTCGAGGGGGTCTGCTTCAGGCCGAGCAGGGCCAACACACCCACTGCTGACAGCAAATTCACACCTTCCATTAGAGCAAGCATCTGATTGGTGGGTAGAATCAGCCCACATGGGCTAAAGGCAAGGATGTGTGGAATCAACCGGGCCAGGCTGGGGCCGAATGGTGCTACCCGGCCCGGGCCGACCCGGCACAGATGGGAATGGCCCATTAGAGGGAAGCCGGCAGGAATGCAGAGTAAAAGGTTTAGCCTTGAGCTAGCAGCTGCTAGGGCAACAACAGAAGTTGTTTAGGGAGCTGTAAGCAGCAGAAAACTGATTTTATGTCCCGCTGTGTTCACATCTGAGATGTGATGAGTTCAAATGACCCTTCACTTTCACAACAGGAGGAAGAAGACCAGCTCATCCATGTAAAGTCCAACTTCCTGTGTCCCATTTAAACCCGGAAGGATGTCCTCCCCCCCCCCCCCCCCCCAAATTCTGTCTTAAGTTGTACGAGGGATCAGAACCAAAAGTCAGATCCGACTATTCCCCATTGAACTGCATGTTGTGATGTATAATTTGTGTTTGCTCCAAAGCTGCAGGAGGTAAACACAGGTTTGATTTTAATGAAAATGTCTACAAGCTCCATTAGCTTCCTTGGGTCTGATCTATACTCATGAACATTAATTCAGCCTTCTGGAGTCGTTTCCACTCGCTGTTTCATAACTACGGGCCTCGTCTGCACTTCTACAAACATAATGCATCAAATGGGTTTTTGCTAAATGAGACGTGGACGGATGCTTTGGAGACCCCGTGTGTAATTTTATCTGATAAAGGGAAGAAATACAGGCCTGCAACTGTGTTGTTGATTTGATTATTTTCTGTTATGAAGTCATTAGATATTCAGCAAAAACCACAAATGGCTGCAGTGCCTTCGTCTTCAGGCTGAATCTTTGTGTGATCACCACAAACCTGTATCACCACCAGAGGCGTGGGCGACGCGTGTGCGACTCGAACGCTTCGCAAACAACAATAATAAACTAAACAGCAACAGATCAGAGCTCACGGCAAAACTTGTAGAAGTCTGTTTGGATTTCCCTCCTGGAGTTGAGGAACACTCTGCCTTTTTCTGTTCCCACGGCGATCACGCTGTCTTCGTGCACGGTGACGCACGCCACCTCCGCGTTGAGTTTGGACATGGCCATGCACTGCAACACACAGGGGGACGGGAATCAGAGCCTCGTACCTGCGGACGTTTTCTAAAGGGCTTGTTCAGCCAGGAAGCGTGCTTCTGTGTGCACGCTATAAACAGTTACTGCAGGGATGTAAGAAAATATCAATGTGCTGAAATATCATGATCATCATGTGTTACAATATGGAATCAATATTTACATTCAATTCAATTCAAATTTATTGATAAAGCGCCAAATCACGACAAGAGTCGTCTCAAGGCACTTCACATATTTAACATTCCAATACAGGTCAGTTCATTAAGCCAATCAGTAAAAGATTTCCTATATAAGAAACCCAGCAGGTCGCATCGAGTCACTGACTAGTGTCAGAGTCTTTACAGCAATCCTCATTCTAAGCAAGCATGCAGCGACAGTCGAGAGGAAAACTCCCTTTTAACAGGAAGAAACCTCAAGAGGATCCTGGCTCAGAATAAGCAGCCATCCTCCACAACTCACTGGGGATGGAGAACACACACACACACACACACACACACACACACACACACACACACACACACACACACACACACACACACACACACACACACACACACAACATATAAGTAGTGTTTCCATGGTTACATTGTGATGTCTTAGTAAATATTCTATTTGGTGAGAGATAAACTTTATTGTATTTATCCTAGTGAATCTATAATTAAACGGGTAAACTAGTAGTAGCACATTCAGTGTCAAAGAGAGTAAAAAGTTATTATCAGGAGAGGGAGAATGTTTAAGTGGTTAGCAGCAGCGTGCTAGACGATGGCCCCCTCCATGAGGCCACCACAGCTCAGCAGAACATCATTGTAGCTTCTTCTGGGGAGAAAAACGGAGACAGAGAAAGAGGAAATCCAAACCATCTCTTCCATAGATCTTAATGGGCAATGTGAGATCACTGGTCAACAAGATGGAGGAACTCCAAGCCCTTTCAAGGACTCAGCCAGAGTTTCGGCAGTTTCGGAACCGCTGGAGGAGATAATGCAGAGAAGGATTCTCCAGAGAATCAAGAAAATGATGGACAACCCTGAGCATTCTCTTCACAAAACTGTCCGACAACAGAAGAGTATCTTCAGTCAGAGGCTTCTTCAGTTTCGCTGCAACACTGACCGCTACTGGAGATCCTTCCTGCCAACAGCCATTGTAATATACAACAACTCTTTGATGACTTGATTATAATTATTATTATTATTCTGAGCTACTACAGCAATCAATTTCCCTTTGGGATTAATAAAGTATTTTTGAATTTGAATTGAATTGAATCTCTGATTTAACACACCTGTCAGTGTCACACGGTGCCGGTGGCACAGGAGTTAAGTGCTCGCCCCATAATCGGAAAGTTGGAGGTTAGAGCCCAGCTCAGTTTGCCGCTCTCGTTGTGTCCTTGGGCAAGACACTCAACCCCCCATGCCTACTGGTGGTGGTCGGAGGGACCGTTGGCGACAGTGCTCGGCAGCTTCGCCTCTGTCAGTGCACCCCAGGGCAGCTGTGGCTACATCGAAGCTCATCACCATCAGTGTGTGAATGTGTGTGTGAATGGGTGAATGGATGATTGTGTTGTAAAGCGCCTTGGGGGGTTTCCACAACTCTAGAAGGCGCTATATCAAATACAGGCCATTTAATCAGCAGCTGTTTAACAGGCTTCAGCAGAGCTTCATGAGCACCTGAACAGGTGATTCAACAATTGCATCAAGAGTGTTGGAGCAGCGAAACAACTAAAACATGCAGGATGGCGGCCCTTGAGGACCAGGATTCTCCACCCATGAATAACAGATATTGATATCAACCCACATCCGTGCACCCCCCAGTTTCCATCAAGACTGTCGATGTAAAAATCTGAAGGGTCAGATTAGATGAAATATGCCCTACCTGGACTTCAAAATAACCCCAAAATTCTGTTTCATGTAAATGTTCTTTTTTCTGGAATTAACCTGCAAAGATGTGAAACATGAAACGCTCGACGCATGAACGTACCACCGAATCGAGGGCAGACACCAGGCTGGTGAGGATCTCCTGTCTGGCTGACACCAACGGGACCTGCTGCTCTCCGCGGGAGTTCGTCCTGATGCCATCACATGCCAGCTTCCTCATCTGAGCCATGTCTCTGTGAGGAGCAGAGGAGCAGAGTTCCAGGAAACCATTTGAGTGTGAATAAAAACGCATATGAGCTGGAAACAGAAAGATAGATTTTATGAGGAAATGTTGAACGATTCCATCAGATAACACATCCTCACCCTGGTTCAGTATGTTAGCAAGCTAAACGCTAACAGCTGCGTGAAACGGAAAGATGAAGCTGAACCCAGCTACAGTCGCTCCATCTTTCTGCAAACCGTGACGTTGGATCTCACTCTCACCTTTCATCTTCATGACGTCACAGTGAAGCTCACATTTCAGAAGATCCTCAGAGGACCATTTTAACACACACACATACATATATATATATATATATATATATATATATATATATATATATATATATATATACACATACATATATATACACATACATATATATACACACACAGACATACATACATATACATACATATATATACATACATATACATATACATATATACACACACACAGACATATATATATACATACATACATACATATACATACATATACACACACACATACATATTTATATATATACATACATATTTATATATATATATATATATATATATATATATATATTTATATTTATATATACATACATATATATATATATATATATATATATATATACATACATACATACATATATAGATATATATGTATACATACATATATATACACACACAGACATACATACATACATATACATACATATATATACACATACATATACATATATACACACACACATACATATTTATATATATACATACATATATATATATATATATATATATATATATACATATTTATATTTATATATACATACACATATATATATATATATATATATATATATATATATACATACATACATACATATATAGATATATATGTATACATACATATATATACACACACACACATACATATTTATATATATACATATTTATATATATATACATACATATACATACATACATATACATATATATACATACATACATATACATATATATACATACATACATACATACATACATACATACATATATATATATATATATTACATACATACATACATATATATATTACATACATACATACATATATATATTACATACATACATACATATATATATATATATATATATATATATATATATATATACATTTTTATGTTTATGTTGTTTATGTTGTTTATGTGCTTAGCAGACGCTTTTACCCAAAGCGACTTACAATTTTGTGATCTGTGGGGGAAACCGGAGTACCCGGAGAAAACCCACGCATGCATGGGGAGAACACGCAACTCCACGCAGAAAGGCGAGTTTTGAACCTGCGACCTTCGTGCTGCGAGGCAACAGTGCTAACCACCGCGCCACCATGCAGCCCAATATATATATATATATATAAGTTCATGGTAATCAATCCATCCATCCATCCATGCATGCCTCTGACAGGCATCCCCAGAGTCATACTTCCAGAATATCTGAAAGCCAAATCCATCAAAAAGCTGTCGCTGTCAGTTAGAGATGATTAAAGCACTCAGAGGATGTCACATGAGCCCCTGAAGGCTGCGTCTTCTCTCCATGACAGATGGGGCAGGAAGACATATTGATTAAAAGATGGAAAGGACGAGTCTCCCAAGTTTCAGGTTCAGTGGCACATCTATGACTTTATTTAAGAACACAGCCAACGTTTGTGTAAATAAAAACAAAAGCAGAGAGGCTAAGAGATACGGAGCATTAACGAAAAACTACTGGGCTAAAACCAAGCTCTATGTTCACATGGCAACGGAAGCCCGTCTCCTTGGAAACTAATCTCGGGGTATTTGAACAATGCAGCTCTGGCCTTTAATCTCTCCAGACACTGGGAACCATTATATTAGCCTCTGGCAAGCTCAAACCACTGAGAGGCAGGACAGAGGGATGGTCGGGGGATTCAGCTGCACCAGTCTGAACATGCCAAGTCCATCTAAATCTGCCTCCCCTCAGGCCACAGCAGACATTGGCCCCCTCCCAAATTATTATGGCCTCAAAATAGATGGCCTCTTTTCCCTCACATATTTAGGAAGGCAGAGGAAGTAGCTAGAAGGAGGGGGGGTATCGTGTCAAACACGCTGCAAGAAGAAGCTCAAGAGTAATGTCAGAGTGAATGTTGAATAGTTTGGTACAAAAAATAAGTTGCATTAAAAGCAACGTAGCTCGTCTGTTAGGAAGTAGGAGAAACCTTGGATCCTTTGATCTTAGAGGTTCTGTTGATGGGGACGATGCAAACTAGGGCTGCACGATATTAGGAAAACCTGCAATATGCGATAACAGTGGTTAATATTGTGATGACGATATTACTAGCGATAAATAAAAATTGAACTCAGGAACAAAAATAATCAAAAACAAAGAAATTAAAAACATTACAAAAAAATCATAAAAATGAGAAAAGCTAAAGATGTGAGGAAAGGGAAAATAAATCAAACAAGAAAAGGCAACCAGTGGATCTCGGGAAAAGCAGAATCAGCAGAAAGAGCAAAACAAAGCTAACTCAGGTGTTTGCTAACCATCTAAATTAAGTGCCGTCCATCTCAGGGGCGGGCATCTAACCTATAAGAACCCACCCGATTGGCCAAATGTGTGAAGAGCTCCATTTGATTTGTTAAAAAACATCATGCTTCCGTTTGTTTAACAGAATGCATTATGTGTAGCAAACATTTGAGCTGACCATTCATTGCAATATTTATCTGTTCTTTGCGATATGCATATTGTGCATGCTGATATCGCGATAACGATATATTTACGATATATTGTGCAGCCCTAATGCAAACTGAATATTTCATCTAGGAAACTGGATTGACTACACCCTCCTTATCAGTATTAAACTCAATCAGCCTCTGTCTGGGATTTAAACCAACATCATTTAGAATTAAAGGCACAGAATTTCATCAATTGCCTTATGCTATAAAACACCAAATCACAAGATCTCAGTTACTGACTCTCAGCTACGACATCAAGTTCCACCTGAAAATTTGACAGTTTGACATTTGGTTTTGTGAAAGTCAGATCATGTCAAAATGGGAAGTTCTAGAAGTTTGTGTGAATAGAGACGCAGCAAAGAGTTGACCAGTGATGCCAAACGAAATTCAGCAGCATCAGCTTTATTGGTGATCGCCCAAAACTCACACCACAGCCGAGCTCTAATGTGAAACTTTTGGCTTCCAGAATTAAAACAGATGTCATTTTACAATTGTATGATTACAGAACATCAGCCAAAGTTGGGGTCAGTGGGTCAAAGCTATAGCCTAGAAATCTGGAGCAACCACAGCAAAGGATCTAGTTCTGCAGGTTGGCTTAGCCAGAGGCTACATTAGCCAATGTAGCCTTGTGGCCGCAACAGTTTTGTGTCCAGCCAATCATAGCGTTCTACGTTTGTTGGGTGGGCCTAACACTAGAGCTGCGATGGACAAAAACTACAACAATGGTGTCACAGAGATAGCTTTGGCATAATTTTGGATGATTCAGACTTGAGCTTTTCTTTGACACATGAGCAGATAGAGGTACTTATCTATTTATTTAGGAAAAAGGAAGTTTTTGCTGCTTTTTCTTCTTTGACAGGGGATGGCAGACTGCCCCGCTGACTGATTTCAGGTGTTATGAAAATGTCAACATTGTTCTTTGCTTTGATTGGTCCTAATGCTGCCCAAATAAGGAGCCTAAGTCACGCCCATCTACTTACAGACCACGGGTCCCCGGAAGAACGAAAAAATGAATGCAAGTGAACTGGGCTAAAAACGCTATTTTCTAACTCTGCTTGTTTTGTTCCATGGATTTCACATTTGATGTCCGTGAATTTTAAAGACAAATTTTTATATCAAGAATGTGTTTATTTTAGAATGGGGGAAATGTTATTTTAGGTTTTGTATGAAAATTAAGTCCAGGACTACAAATGCGCATCATGGCAGTAACGTCATTGAACCAGACACGGAGAAAACTGAGGTGAAACTGCTGTAAGTTCAACGAACTTAAAATCCTTCCTTCAGAAGGAAATAACCACCATAAATCTGGTCATGTGGTGAGTAGCAGCTACACTAGAGGAGAAGACATTCTGGTGACGTCATATATGCGACGTGCTGATGTCTGATTTGTAGTCATGCTAATTATGAACTTTTACAAACTGATAAATCTCAAAGTACTTGACTGGCATGGTCAATACACCCATCATTAGTTTTCATTTAAATAGCAGTACAACATATGTGCGATCCAGGGCGTAAGGCAAAGCGGGCTAGAAAATAGCTTTTAGCCCCATTGGCTTGCTTTCATTTTTCCGTTCTTCCGGGGACCGACAAGCTGACCGGAAAGGGAGGAGACTTAGGGTGTTTCTCAATGCCAAGGAACCTTGCCTTGATGTCTTGGCCCCGCCCCGGTTGCCTAGGAGATACGTCATCGGGAGCCACCAAGACGTTCCAATGTTCATGTTCTACCAAGGCGTGTGTTCTCCGTTTGTTAGCCGTTTAGCTAGCTGAGCAAGGATACACGGGAGGTGTCTTGTAGCCTAGCCTTGGTCAAAAATTACCCACAATACACTGCGGTATTTTCAAAAAGATGGCGGATCAGAAGCTACTTCGGGGACAATTTTCAAGTTTAAAAGTAAGTCAGCTAAAATGTTTTCTTTAGATCCAAAGAAGTTATCTATGGTTGGTTAGTTGCCTAGTAGTTGCAGCTTCAGTGGCTAGCGGGTAGTAACTTGCTTATATCTTTAATTTAATACACATATACCCAATTTAAAAAGTAAAAGGCTCATTAAATATTTATATTGAAACTAATACATATAAAATATAACATTATCTCCCGTGTCACGTGACATTACATGACTGCCGTGGAAGCCGCGGTTCTGTTCCATTTAACCGTTTTCTTTGACCAAGGAAGGACAGTGTCCTTGAATGCAAGGCGCCTGGCCTCGCAAGACATCGCCTCGCAAGGCAAGGCGCCT